AAGTTAAATTGTTTTAGAACTTAAATAATTTTAGAAAGTTTATGACTGCAATAAATACTTTTGTGGACCTCCAGATGTCTCAGTAGGAGATAGGCTTAGGGCAGATTTTGTAGTCTCAGATAGCCTTCACTCACAAATACTCCATAAATATAGGCAAGTTGGTTTAAACTTTCCATGAACCCAAATTATAATGGGACTACCAAGCAATGTCTAATTAAGTATAAACCTTAATGTTAAAATATATATAAACTGTTCTGTTTTGTTAATACCTTGTCAACTTATGGCATTATACACTGTCATTTTAAGTTTATTTTGTTTCTTAGAATGAATTATTGTCCTGAACTCACTATAAACTTGGAGATAGCTGAAAAATATGGCAACAAGTCAGTCCTAATTGAAAAAGGCATGTATTCTCATAACTTTTAGACCCTGTTAACCTTTAGGCCTTGTCAACTTCTGTTACTCACTATATACTTATATAATGGATACATGATAAAAAATGTTTAGTTTTGAAACCTGTAACCTATTGTACTTTAGAATTAATCTTTTTTTGTGATTAATTGCCTTTTTGACTATGAGGTAATTCCTTTTCTGGGAGCTTTGTCTCAGAGGTATAAAGCTATGACTATACAATAAACATTGGTAAAACCTTGTTGGCAGAAGCCTAGTGGTGGAAGCCCATTGAATGAAAGCCAATTGGAATTCGCTTCATCCATGAGTTGTAAATATGTATACAGATATGTGTTTACGTGTAAATATGTCTAGCCGCCTGTTTGCATATGCTACATGAGTGTATGTCAATTGTCTGTATATAAAGAACCCCTTTTGTACTGTCCACTGAATGTATGTATGAATATGTACAGGTCTATGTCTGATTGTTTATGTGGATGTATGGGCTGATACTATAGAACTCGCAGCCTAAATTTGCTACAGTTTCTGCAGAATAGCATAAATTAACATCATTGTCATATGTAAGCTTGTGGGAATTCATTGACGTCAAAGTTCTTAACTTCATCCACCTTTTCCCTTGAGCATATGTGCATGAATGGTCTTTGCTTACTTTCTCTTCTCTTTTCTTTCTTTCTTTCTTTCTCTTTCTTTTTCTTTCTTCCTTCCTTCTTCTTTCTCTTTCTTTCTCTCTCTCTCTCTTTCTTTCTTTCGGGATTTACAAACAAGTTAGCAGGTTCAGGATCTATCAGCCTAAGATAAGCAGGAAAAAGTTTACTTTAGCCTGTGGAGGGCTCCACAGCAGCCTGCTTGGTCCTGCGTAGAAGCTAGTCTCCGATCAAAGAGCTCCTTTTTACAAGTAACCTCGCAGTTCTGGCTAGAAGACGCCTTTTACAATCTTGGCTGCAGGAAAATAAGGTGACCAGTTAAACTTTTCCCCCTTAGTAATAGTAATAGTGTAGCCAGTCTCTAGACTTAGAGAAGGAATCCTGGGCTTCCTCTCCTATTTCTTTTTCTTTCTATCATCTTTCATGATAGGTTGCCTGAGCCATCAGCTCAGCGACCCAAGAGATAAAGATCCTACCCTAGACTCTTACCAAAGCAGAGAGACTTTGGTAAACAGACTCTAAAAGACTTTAACACATACGCAAATGGACATAAAGTTAAGTTTTTTTTTTTTTGAAAAGAATGTATGCAATGCAAATAAAACCTGAGCTTAAAATATTTAGTATCCATAAACAAATAAGTAAAAAAATGAAAAGAAAAAGGATCAAAGGCTATGAACAGGCAATTTAGATAGAAAAGAAGGGAGAGAGGGAACCTGTGTGATGGCTCAGCAGCAGACACGGAGATCACAGACTGGAGTGACCAAAGCTGACAAACTCAAGAGTAACCTGTAGAGAAGAAATTGCAGACTTCTAAGAATTAACTGATGACTGGCTGGTGCTGCTGTTCTGAGGTTAGGTTTAAAAAACAAAAACAAAATAAAAACAAAAAACAAAAAACGAAAAACAAAACTGGATTCCTCAAATAGAAAATTGTCCAGTGTATTTGGCTGCTACTTAGGGAAGGAGACTGCAGCTGCAAGGGTGAAGTGTGGATGGTTTCTGCGAGTTCACAGGAAGCATGGGAAGCACAGTGAAGACAGCAGGCAGGAAAAAAGCAACTCTGGTCGTCTTCAGAGAATGCATCCTACAGCACCTCCTGTCAGAGTAGCAGAGCCACAGGTAGCAAAGCAGAAATTTGCTGAAGTTTGCAGACAAGGGGTAAATTAACTGGTATAGCTAATAGCAATGGTAATCAGCATTTATATCTAAGCTCCCATAACCTCCCAATCTTTTTCTAATTAACTATTTCCCACAGAAATTTGAATAGAAATATTTCCCATTTTCTCAAAGAGACACAATGAGCCAGGCCAGCCTAGGCTATAGTGTGGCTCTATTTTGAAAATGAAAGAGAGAGCAGGTCAATATAGTCATTGTGTCTATCGAAGAGACTTCAATATGTTCCATTTTGAGGCTATGAGAACTACTATGAAAATTTGTTCACAAACTCCAACCTGAATATTCTGTTTCCTAAAAATGAAATGGTAACATTAGCCTCCAGCGAAATGTGTATTAAATAAAAAGAAGGAGGAGTCCAGCCAGAGTGGAGTAACAGGCTTCTTTCTGGCCTAGAATGGCCAAAGAAACTACTATGAGCTGTATGATTGCCCCAGCTCACTGCCCAGAGAAAGGTTTCAGTCTGTAGCTTGGGGAGAAGGAGGTGTGGCAGAATCCCTTTACTGGAGATGAGGAGAGGAGCAGAATTCACAGGGCTTCAGACTGAGAACAAGAAAGCTGCACAGAAAGAGAACTCTAGAGATTGCACAAGTACCCAAGCACTCAGGTGAGCACTGATCCTTGTATGTGTAAGGAAAGTGCTCAAGGGCAGGAAACTACAAGCTCACATGCACTGAATGCAGGCCTTGTTTCTCATAAGGCCAATCTCCTAACTCAGCAACACTCAGGGAAGACACAGAAAGATTTTGCCTCAAAGAACACTAATCACTCATTTAAAGCTAATCTCGACTCATAAGACACAGTAAAAGTAGATACAAAAAATAAGGTGCTTGCAAATAACTTTCAAGTCACTAGATCAATATTTAAGAATTATAATACGAAAAATGACAGAATACTCAATAAAGATAAATTTTACTATGCCTGGTATACAAATAAAAATAATCAGACATGAAAAGTAACAACCACAAAATACAACTCATAATGAAGAGAGAAATCAATCAATAGGCACTGTCCCAGACATTATATAGATGACAGACTTAATAAAGGTAAATAAAATGCTTACGAAAACAAAACTGTATATGTTAAAGGTAATGACAGGGCAGGGTGAACATGCCAAGAAGATATAAAGGAATGCATAGGGGAATTTATTTATGCATGGTAGATATTTTAAAAGATTCAAGTTGAACTACTAAAGATTAAAAGTGTTAAGTGAAATTTAAAAAAGAATTTAAAAACCACACTGGATGACATTTATGACAGGTTAGACTTTGCAGAAAAAAAGATTAATACAAACATGAAGACAAGGGCAATATAAAATATCCAATGAAATATGGAGAGGAAAAAACAAAAGAGCATCAAATAAGGGTCAACTTCAAGTAACTTATTAGACCCATGATTTAGGCCCATAGAGAGGCCGGAAAAAAAACATCTGAAGGAACGACGGATCCCAAATTTCTGAATTTTATGAAGATCATAAAGCCGAAGTTTCAAAGACTGCAAGCACCCCCAAATACAAGACAAAGGAAATAAAACACATCAAAGTATATCACAAAGTGCCCCACCAACAATACAGAGCAACACCTTAACAGAAGCCATGGGACACCTCCATGAGAGGAGCAAAGGCAAGAGCTTCATTGCTGCTGTTGTTGGAAGCAACACAAACCAGAAGAGAGTGAAGCAATGTCCTAAGTGTTCTGGAAGAGGAAAAAAAAAGAAAAAAAAGAAAAAAGAAAAGAATTGCTAACCTGTAAATATGTGTTTCACATGTTCTACTCCATAGCACCAATGAGAAAGGGCCCCTTCTTCTGTGCTTTCTACTTTTGAGAATTCAGGAATTTTGGTTTCTTTTAAAAAATGCAGAAATATTATAAGAATGTGCCTTTGTTTTAATCCCAGGTGTAGGGACCTGGGCTGTCTGCAGCAGCTGACCAAGATTTGCAGAAAAGGTGTTTTAGCAGAAGCACTGTTTTACCAGATGCAGATAGTTTCTGTGATTGTGTGATGTTTGGAATTTCTGTAACTTTTCAGGGTACATAAAAGTGAGCCTCTCCCCCCCCCCCACACCACCAAGAGTCGAGGTGAGTGGTTATGATCTTTTAGGGAGGTTTGTTGTGGTTTGCTAGTAGCTGTGGTCAAAGAAGAAAGAAAAGGAAAGAAGACTCAAGGATCTTTTCCTCTCTCTCTCTTGTCTAGTGTTAGGGGGTAAAACTGGGGGGGGGGATAAACAGTGGGAAAAAGGGCCCACAAAGTAGCAAAGACCAGCTACATATAATAGGTAATTTTATATACATATAAAATTATATGCTTTAATGTTATGTTTATATAATTTAATAGTTTAATATTTATATTAAATATATAGTAAATTATGTTATATATTAACTTATTTATATATACATATATGGGGGGGCATATGTGTAGAGGTCAGAGGACAACTTTTGAAAGTCTGTTCTCTTCTTCTATCATGTGAGTCCCTGAAATCAAACTCAGGTTATCGGTCTTGGTGGAGGCACCTTTACACTCTGAGCCACCTTACTGGCCTTGCTTTTCGTTTTTGTTTGTTTTAAGATAGGATCTTGCTATATAGCTTTGACCATTCTGGTACTTTTTTTTTTAGCTGCCCTTAAACTCTTGGCAATCTTCCTAGTCCTGAGATTTCAGGTATGCATTACAACACTCAACCATTTCTTTTCAATAAAATAGGCAGTAAATATTGTAAACCACCTCCAGGTAATAAAAAAAGAAGATTATGGGAATAAGAAGTGACTTTGTTATAAGAATTTGCATTTATTTAGTTTTTCAAACTAACCTAGCTGGTACAACTGAAGGCAAGACACAACTATTACCTAGTATAATAAACCCAATTATTAGATTGTGCCATTAAAAGGCTTTTTTGACTACAAAGGGAGACTATTGCTCTTCATTCACTATTGTTACACATATTGACTTTAACATTGTATAACATATGCCAAGTACAGCAGCACTACTTCCTACAGAGAACAATGTGAGGAAGACACACAGAGTGGCTAACATTAACACACATGTAACAGGTACATTAACAATTACCTTCATCAACACTGTCATTTTCAAGCTGTGGAATGTGAAATATAGTATTATGGAAGTACTCATTTCATTACATCTTTTATTTTTTTGACACTTTCTTGCTCTATGTATCTCTCTCTGCATTCCAGCTCTGAAACACAAGTGAAATGTGAAGGAAAAAAAAAAAAAAAAAAAAAAAAACTAGATAAAAATCTCTTTTACCAGACGAGAGGAGGACAACAGAGAATCTACCAGGATCCTGTGCCCTTCCTGAAGTATCAATGATCCTGAGCCAGGTGTCTGGCTTTTCCAGAGTCACATTCAGCCAGTCTTCCAGATACTACTAAAATAGGAAACAGAAGCAGTTGTTAATGATGAAAAGACTGTGAGGAATTCTGATATAATTTCTAGGCTAAGAAATGGAAAGGAAAAACAATACAGTATTAAATGTTTCTTTATAAAGCTTTGATTTATTTTGTTACATTGGACAGAAACCACTTTTGTAGTAAAAAAGATTAATAAGGAACACTGTTAAAGTGAAGCAACTGCTTTATTTCAAAACCATTAAGAAAGCTTGTATTTAAGGCACAACTGGGCATGTTAAAAAGCATAAGCTGGAAAAGACTGACAATTCTTTGTTATTGCTAATTCTTTGTTAATAGCAGTTTTATGAGAAAGAGAGGCATTAGGGTAGCCTCAGGGTGGTGGTTATAACATCTCTAATAGAACATTTTTTTCTGACCTGAGCCCTCATTCTGGGGATAGCCCAGTGAACTTGCTGGGATTAAATAAGCGCCTGGAAGTGCTCGAAATACTGCTGAATCAGGATCATTTGCAGCCTTCTGTTCTAGGGGTAAATATCACATACAATATTGAAGAGGGTTCCTTACAGGGCATCACAACTTCTTTCTCTGAGAGCACATGGTATACTTACCAGAAGTTACCATCTCCACACTTCCATGACTATTTTTTAGGCCTCCCACAATCCTGCTATGCAGAAATGAGGGGTTTGCTCAGTAGACCAAGCTCTAGAAAAGTTGCCAGAACCTTCAGTGGTTCTCAGCTTCACTACTACTGACATTCTCAGCACATGGAGTGATTCTGAGTTGGTGAAGGGGTAGGGTGCGGACTTGTGCAGCGTAGAAGTTAGCATCCCTGGCTTCCAGGCACTTGAGGCTAGCAGTGGCACCTTCCATGATGCCTCTGCCATCTAACCCAGGAGACAAAAATCACTCCCAACTTGGAAAGATAGATTTTAAATGTAAACTGCATCATGCACTTTACTCCCTTGCATCAGTTTTTGATGATCTCAAAATAATAAATGCTTTACTGTGATTTCCAGTACTCTGTATGAACTAGCATCTTCCTCTTTTTTTTTTAATACCATGCCCTCATGTACTAAGTGGTCTTTCTGTTCCATACACATTTTCAGTTTGCTTCCACCTACTTTTTACAAAGGCTTTTCCTTCTGTGTAGAACGCACTGCCCCTTAGATCCTGGTATGGCTCACTGTTCGCCCACACAAATCTCAGATCAAATCAGCAAGGCTTTCCCTGACCATATTCTCTAAAGAAGTCCCCACTCCCTACCACAAGATACCTTTTCCTTCACAGGAACACAAGAGAACATTATCTTACTTTCCCCTTTGTTGTCTGCCTTTTCACTAGAAGAAGATCTTAGTCTTTTCCACTGCTATAGCTGACATGCTCTGACTAGTTCCTAGTACACATTAGCTACTCAGTAGCCATCCTCTGCCAACCTCTCCCCTCAGGTCAGGTATCAATGGCTTCCTCTTCACTTCCCTTCCAAGATTACTTTTTTATTAATTGACTTGCCTTATTTTTCTAACACCCTCTGACTTATTTTTTTAAAAGTGTAGGTGGAACACTGTGTATAAAAACTTAACATGAGAAAACTTTCTATGAAATATAAATGAAAGCCAATTAATATTTTATGTAGGTTTCAAGCAGGTATATAATCAGGCCAGCTGTCAAGAATCATAAGTTTGGCCCCTCTCAGCAAATTGCAATTCGTCAAGACATTCTAGATGGATCTAAAACTACAAAACTTACCTGACATTCTAGAGGAACCTAAGAGTATTATACTTAACTGGTGCCGAGACTCAGAGAGCCTCTTTGTCCATCGGCTGGGCTCATACAGCCCAGAAACCTTTCTGTGTTGGCTTCAAGTTAATAGCAGGATGGTTTAAGGTGCTGCAATGTCAATACATGTTGCCAGCGCCCGGAAACCACAGCCTGTTTCTTATATTGATTTATGGGCTTTTTCCATGAAATCAAAGACGCTCGGCTCTCCTGGAAGCTGGCTGTTTGGCAACTCTTCAGTCCTGGGTATGGGCCATGGCCTTTGGGTAGCACTTCATCGAGCCATTTTGGCACTCTGGCGAGTGGCTTGCTTGTCCCGTCGGGCTGGGCTCTCTACGCGACGCACAGTAGTCTCCACCCGCAGGGATGACGACGTCTTGACGTGTCGGGAGGACATTTCCGTGCACTGCGAGGAGGTTTCCACGTGCTGAGAGGACACCTCGAGGAATCGGGGGAGTCGCTTCTCGGAGGGAAAGAGGGCGGGGCTCTCTCGGTGGCGCTGGGAGGTCTCCACCTGCCGCGAAGACTTTCGAACCTGCCGGGAGGACATGTCCACGCGTTGAGATGACGTTTCCTCCCGCTGGGACGACGTCTCCACGCGGACAGTCGACGTCTCCTTGTGGCGGGTGCTTTCCATTCGCGGAGCAGAGGACTTGCTCCTGAGGGGCGAGGCCATCCTGCCGGTCCTCCCCGGTCAGGCGAGACATAGAGGCCCAAGGCTCATCCTGTGTCTCCCGGGGAACGGTGACGTCAGCGCGGCGTGTGACGTCAGCGTAGGCAGCGGGACCCAGAGACTGGCAGACTACGAGGTTCTTCGGCACGCCCGGCTCGATACCTGCGCGCGCAGCCGACCCCACCCGCAGAGACGGGCGGGGCCTCTGGCCTCATAATAAGGCTGTCCCCGCCCTCGTGTCCCAACCTGTCCCGCGACCGGAAATAGAAGCCGTGGCTTCCGGATCCTCGCTTACCATTGGAGGCTGCGGTTTGGTCCGGTTGGGTAGTGTTAGTGCCTTCTTGTTATGGCCGCGGCCGTCGCTATGGAGACAGGTGCGTTGTGCCTTGCACCCCGAGTCTTCACCGAGGGAACAGTCCTTCGCCCGACCTCTTCTCCCGTTTCCCTTTTTCTGCGCAGTGTATCGGGCTTAACTCGTCTTTAGAGTTGGGACCGGCGGGGAGAAGGTGGCGTCCCCTCGGAGTATGGCCCTGAGTGAACATCTTTACTCCTGGGTTGCTCAAACCCTTCCTCCCCTGGCTCCCGGGGCGGGGCGGGGCGGGGCGGAGCTGAGGGGGTGTACTGGAGTCTTCAACTGTCTGTTCTTTGGAGCTTCTTCCGTGCACTTGCCTGGAATGTCCGTAACCTGAGTATCATTCTAGTGCGGATCACCGACCTCGCTCCGGTGTTAAATCAGTTTGCATCTTGCGTTCTGTTTTTAAATAGCACTTTGTTTTTGCTTACTGTATCACTGTTAGTAGTTGTGGTTATAACGCATTAACAGGGGACGACCGCACTACTTTTACGGACTGTCCAGTGATTTTAGCTAACGTCCTTCCATAGAGCTCTGCAGGTAGTAAATATCCATCCCATTTATTTTCCTCAACGAACTTTAGAGGATCTCTTTACTGTTCTAATTTTGGAGACAGGGTCTCACTATGTACTACCGGCTGGCCCGGAACTCCAAATTAGGCTGTGCTGGCCGTGAATTCACAGAGACCCGCCTGCCTCTGCCTCTCAAGTGCTGGGATTAAAGGCTTGTTTTGTTTTGCTTTAAATCAGGCTCCGCTCTTAAATTTTTAAAAAAGTCTTTCCTGCACGTTCGAATTTATTTCATACACACAACCTCAAATTTCCTTCAAAGGAAGTCTCTTCCGCACTTTGATATTTGTTTATAAATTCATATTACATATGTATGCTTATCTATTGGGGGAAGGTGCATGCCCAGGTCAGAGGACAACTTTCAGGAGTCAGTTGTCTTCCCGCAACCTTGTGGGTTCCAGGCATCTAGCTCAGGTCATCAGACTTTGCTGCAAGCACCTTACCTGCTGAGCTGTCAAACCTGTGGTTTATTTTTGTTTCACAATTAATATTTGTATAGTGACATTTATTTGGGGTGATTTTTTTTTTTTTAACTGTCTTTTCTCCTAGATGATGCTGGAAATCGACTTCGGTTTCAGTTGGAGTTGGAATTTGTGCAATGTTTAGCCAACCCAAATTATCTTAATTGTAAGTTGAGTATATCATTAAGTAGCTAGCTGTTGATGATTTCTGACAGAAGAGATGCAATTTGTAATAGCATTTACCTTGATATGTTTGAATGGGGTTTTACTTGAGCTGTAGGTATTAACTGACGAGTTTTTAAATTCCTTGTGTTTTGGTGGTACGGTTGTTAAGAAGAGCTACTTTATTTTAGAGATTACAAGTCAGTAGTCCAGCAGTTGTTTGATATAAAGATTGTTTCTTTATGCCTTTCAGTTCTTGCCCAAAGAGGTTACTTCAAAGACAAAGCTTTTGTTAATTATCTTAAGTATTTGCTTTACTGGAAAGAACCAGAATATGCCAAGTATCTAAAGTAAGTTTAATTTTTATAATCCTAAATGTGTATATATTTTATTATAAATACAAAGCACTGATATTTAGCAGTTTTCTGTGTCAAAATGGAAAACTATATTTTGAATCTTTCTGCTTTTAGTTAAAATAAGATGCTGTCATCTCTTACTTGGATTATTACAGTACTCACTTATTTCTGCTATCATTCTTACCTCACGCCCTTCAAATGAAGCCAAACAACTGTCTACGTGGAAGCAAGCTTATTCTCTTAGTAATATAAGTCAGAACATGCCACTTCTGTTCATTTTGATAAGATCTAGTTAACTGTTTTTAGGAGAGTTATTATTAGAAAATTATAATGTCACAGACCTGGGTATTGAAAACCTTAGCCACCTTCAAGTTCAGCCTTTGCAGCAGAGTTGTTGAGAGATGATTATCTTCGCTCTGGTTGGAGGCTTTCGCTGAGCATCTGTCAGCTCTATTAGAGCAGTTTATTCCATTGATAGGTAGAGGATAGATAGCTGTTCCTTATCTTGTGATCAAATAGACTCTAAAGCTCTAACCTGTTTGTAGGTGTTTTTTTTTTTTTTTTCCCTGTTAATCTTTGCCCTCTTGGAGATAACAGCTATAGATGTATAACCTTCAAGAGATGTTGTGAATTAACCCGTGTTGGGCAACTTCATTATACTACACATGGTTTTAGATTTTTAAAATAGTTGCCCAGATGGGAAGGTTTTATGTAACAGATTTCTCTTGGAACTTGGGAAGAGTGGAGGCCTTCATTTTCCCTGGGTCAGCAGCTGGTTGCAACTGAGAAAAGCTGTCGCTTTCAGACTTCCCAGCATGTGGCCTGCTTGTTGATAGCTAGTACATGCAGCAGCTGTGTTTCTCTCGCATGTCTGTTCTTAGGTGCTTTCATTCTTTCTTTTTCTTTTTCTTTTTCTTTTTTTTTTTTTTTTTTAGTGTCACAGTTTCCAGAGTTCTCAGGAACCTTTAGTTATGTGGCAACTCAACAAAATAAACATAGGCCAGGCAAAGTGGTACATGTCTTTAATCCCTACACTTGGAAGAAGCAGGAGAAAATCTGAGTTTGATGCCAACATGGAATATGTAGTGATACCCTGGTTTAAAAGAACATAATTTGGGGATGGAATAGTTAGAGAGATGATTTTGTGCTTAAGTGCGCTTGCTGCTCTTGCAGGTTTGGTTCTTAGCACCCAATGACAGGTCACATGTCTCTGCTATAAGTTCTGATGCCTTCTGGCCTCTGAAAGCACTGCATACACATGGTACATAGACACAGGCAACAAAAGCCCGTGCAGAGGAAATAAAAATAATTTTAAAAACAAACTAAACATAGGCATTTGGGTGTGGGCAGGGTACTATAGACCACATGGCATTTCTCTTCCTCATGACAATTCAACATAAGTTATTTCCATGAATTGAGTGCTGTTACTTGTCTCCTCTGTTTATGTCTTATTTTTTTAAAAGCAAAATGTCTTTCCATTTGTATCTCCTCTATTTCATCCTGTAGACTTAAGAGTTAGTGTGCTGTAGCCTCTTAGAATGTGTCTAATTCCTTGTTCTGTAGTCTAATGTATTGCTACATTATTGTCTAAAAAATTGATAAGGCACTGTCTAAATTTCAGTTACTGAGTAAATGCTACTTGAGGCCATTTTCTTGCTGATCCATTATTTTGCACACAAAGAAACTAGAATGCCACCTTCCTGATACTCAGAGCTCAGTCAGATGTACCACTGGGAATTAGCCAGTGTAGTGGGAATAGAGCATTCTGAGCTAAGCTACCAATAATTACAGCAGCTCTTTATTTGGAATATAAATAATAAGCCTTTACTGAAAGGGGAAGCATAGCATTGGCTTGCAGTGGCAGCCATAGCCACTTTCACCCTTACCCAATGCCCCCTTCTCATTTTTATCTTATTACTTTCTCATCCTCCCTCCTTTTAAAAGCTCCAGGACAAAATTATTAACATTTATAAGAAAAATATCCTAGTGCAAGTAAGCTGTAAAAATTCTACAGCTGCCCAAAGGAGAAAAAGGAAAGGAGAAGGAAAAAGGCCTTTCCTCTTGAATTAAACTATTATGGAGGACAGCAAGATGGGTGGGGAGGGAAGCCAAGTATGGAAGCCCAAAGTGTTAGGGAAGGCATGCTTAGCATAGAAATGGGAAGAAGGAGAGAGAATGTTGCACTTTCTCTTGACTTTTCTGAGTATTTGCAAAAGGCAGTCAAAAACTGCATTGGAATGAGATTGCCAGGATCCTCATTTTGATAGGGTATTAATATTAGTCTACTCTGTAGTCTGCAGACCCCATTAGATTCCATTGTTCTACTGATGTCTTGTATCTACTGAGTCATCCACTTTAGGCTTATATGCTACATTTTATCATCCTCTCTGCTTAGTCTTGAGTTCCTTGTCCACTTCCCATTCCCTACTCCCCACTCACTCAAGCTCTTTTTGTTTCTCATCCTCACTCTGACCAAACAAAGACTTGCTACTGTTACTTTGTCCTTCTTGGTTTGTCATAATCCAGTCAGATGAAGTCTGTTTGTCCCATTTGTGATGCTAATTTTGATCCATAGTTAGGTGGTGCCTTCCAGTTTTCCTCACATCAAATTACTGTTTTTCTTTTATGTTTAATATATGACTTGTGAGGAAAATACTTTGAGACTACATAGGTATCAATTTTACCCACTAATTTCAGCATTTTTTTTAATCAAGTAAGCTTAAGGTTAGCCTGCAAAATAATGGGTACATCATGACACCTTCATACATGTGTCATTATACTCTGCTCTCATTTATTCACTCCCTATTTTAGCATTATTGCAGATACTTGCCTCACTGTTTTTACTGAGGAATTTTCTAATTCTGTAACAAGGAAAAGCATTCCCATGTTATTTACTCATTCAAACATGTATATGAGAGTCAACTTTTGTTTTCAAGCACACCAGAAGAAGACATCAGATCCTATTACAGATTGTTGTGAGCCACCATGTGGTTGCTGGGAATTGAGCTCAGAACCTCTGGAAGAGCAGCCAGTGCTCTTCACTGCTGAGCCATCTTTTGTCAGCTCCCAGAGTCAACTTTTGGATTGTTTTTATCCAGTGATTTCTCAGTTCTAATTATTCCAGCAGAATTGCCTGCTGGAACATCTTTAGATTGGATCTTGTGTATCTCTGGCATATTCCTATCCATGTCTAGCACTTCTTTTGATGTATTCTGCATCCATGCTATACTTTGTCCATCTTAACCCTGAAATAAGTTGTTTCAAGGAACTCAGGAAAGTAATATTTGAGAACGAAGCTCTGGAGACTTTTAAGTATACTCATTGATATTACAGTGGTTTTTTTTTCTAGGCCCTATACATACAAAGCTAGGAACTCCATGTGTGTTTATATATGCACACATACATTTATGTGTATTTCTGTGTGTCCATGTGTTAAAAGCCCTGAGGATGAACTGGAGAGGTAGGTCATAGGTTAAGAGCACTACCTATTCTTCCAAAGACCCAGGTTTGATACCCAGCACCCACATGGCTGCTCACAACCATCAGTAACTTCAGTTCTAGGGGCTCTAGTGCCCTTTTCTGACCTCCATGGGCACTGTGTGTTTGTGATGTATAGACTTACATGTAGGTAAAACACCCATAAACATAATTTTTTTAAAAAGGCCATGAAGACATACTGTTTGCAGTTCCAGCTCAGTGACACAGCATTTATGCTTCCTACCCATCTCCTTTTTAGATAACCAAATATTTGGCTTCTTTTTACCTTACTGTACTTATTTGCTCAGTCCTAGAGTATACATGATTTCTTGGTATAATCCCTGTGGAAAATTAGAGCACTGTATTTGTTCATGGTTTATTTTGGAGGAGGGATCTTGCAGTGTGACCCTCAAATTCAGTACTAAGTTTCCTGAATACTGGGAGTACAGGTGTGTGCACCTAGAAATGAATATGGTTCTGTGGAGTTAGTTGATTCACTGAAATAAAGGTTACCCTTTTATAGCTTCTGATGGAAAACCAATAGCTATTTATTAACATATTATTTTCGAAGTCTTCAGAGCCAGTGCAATACCTCAGTGGATACACATGCTTGCCTGTAAGCCTGATGACCTGAGTGTGATCCCTAGGATGCTCATGGTAACCTCCAGAAGTATCCCATGACATGTGCTCACTCTTCTTTCCACACAAACACTAAATGAATGAATGAATGATTTAGGTTAAAAAGTATTCATATTCCTAACTTAGAGAACTAGATGTGTATGGTTTATCCATCAATTTTGACCCTGGCTTTGTTATCTTGGGCAATTTATGTAAGGTTTCTGAACTTTAATTTTCATACTGTTCTAAAATAAAATGGTGGGAGTGACATTTCAAACATGGTAGGCTTGAGATCATTTTTCGGGAAGTATCTGAATTAGAATTTGGATGCCTAAATTGATAATTAACTTATGAACTTAAACCCAGGTACCCTCAGTGTTTACACATGTTAGAACTGCTCCAATATGAACACTTTCGAAAGGAGCTGGTGAATGCTCAATGTGCGAAATTCATTGATGAACAGCAGATTCTACATTGGCAGCACTATTCCCGGAAGCGGATGCGTCTTCAGCAAGCCCTGGCAGAGCAGCAGCAACAGAATAACACAGCAGGAAAATGAAAAGCTGGGACAGACCAGGCTCTTAGGACATGTATATAATGTATTGCTATTGTACAACACAGAAGATTCTTCTGCCTGCCTTTACTGTGGTAGCACTCAGAACCATTAATGTTATTTTTGGATGGCAAATCTTTTGTTGTTAATAGATTATTTTTGTTAAACCAGGCTTGTTGTACTTTGATTTCTCTGGGGACTTGTATATTTCAATTGCATTTAACAGAACCAAGTAAATAAGAATGGAAATGTTAGGTGTTTTAGAGCAGTTTAAGAACATGGGGGTGACATACATGGGGTGATGATCTAAGGTGAGATCAGCTGATTCACTCCTCCTGTTTTCAGGAGAGGGGACTGGAGTCACGGGTCTCTAAATCAGAGTAGGAACTACATGAAGGTTTCTTTTTGCAGGAGAGAACACATTCAGTTGTTCCCTGCTTTGTAAGATAGCTGAGCTAATGGTGGCAGGGAAAGGCTGGTAGTTAATGACTGACTGGACATTTGTCCTTAGCAATGAGCCTCAAATATCTGTCTCTGGGAAAGTTAGCATATTTTTGACAAATACCACAAGTAGGCACTGTTTTAAAACACTTCTTTGAATTCTCTTTTAATCTATTTCAGAAAGGTTTTATGTGTGTTTGCTTGTGTATATGTGCACCCTGTGCTGGTGCCTCAGGAGGCCAGTTGTGGAGGACATCAAATCTCCTGGAATAGATTTGAAGGTTGTGAGCCACTATGTGGTTCCTGAAACCAAACCTGGATCCTCTGCAGTAAGAACTGTTAACTACTGACCCATCTTTCCAGCTCTAGTTTTATCTTTTCTTGAGACAGGGTCTCAATTTGTAGCCTGGGAACTTGCTATTCTTCCACGTCTATCTCTTGAGTACTAGGCTTAAAGACAGCTTCTAGGCCTGGCTCACATGTTCCCCACTCCCGTAATTTTATGTGAGTGAATGTTTGGCCTACATGTATGTCTATGTACCACTTGCATGCCTGGTGCTCCTAAAGGCCAGAAGAGTGTCAGATCCCCTGGAACTGGAATTACAGTTTTGAGCTGGCATGTGGGTGCTGGGAATAGAACCCATGTCCTGGAAGAACAGCCAATGCTTTTAACCACAGAACTACCTCTTCAGTCCACATTCTTATTTATATAAAATAGTTGGGTTTTCATTTGTGACAAGGTCTGGTTCTATAGTCTACCCTTGCCTCAAACTTGTGATCTTGCCTCAGCCTCTAAAGTGTTTAAGATTACAGGTGTGTGTCACTATATGCCTAACACAATTCTTGTTTGAGGAAATTGAGATTTAGACAGTAACTTGCCTATAGCTAGGAGAAGCAGCCTGTGTCACCCCAAGAGAATCATATTTTAGACATTTGTGAAACAAAACTGCCTGAATTAAGCATATGAATCCATGTGTCTTTTCTAAATGCCTTAGTGAAGTTCTATATTTCAAAAGCAGAAAAGGGGTTTGCAAATACACAGAATGCCTAACTGCTGCAGATTTGGCAGTTACTTTTTATCTTCAGTATTTCCTCTGAGCTACTTATTCCTACCATATTGAAGACTTATTTTACTCAAACCTTTTAGATAGCCATTTGTAACAAAACTAATTGGAGATTTGTATTAATTCTTTATTGTTTAGACATACACTGATTTTAATGTCATTTACTTGTCAATTCAAAGCAAGTATGTGGCTTCTTTTAAGCAAACCAGGAAAGCAAGACACAACTGCAAGTTATCAATTTTTGTTTGTTTGTTTTTGTTTTTCCAGACAGGGTTTCTGTGTAGCCCTGGCTGTCTTGGAATTCATTCTGTAGACCAAGCTGGCTTAGAACTCAAGGATTCCCTGCCTCTGCCTCCTGAGTGCTGGGACTAAAGGCGAGTGGCTCCACTGCTTAGGGAAGTCATCAAATCCTAATCTTCGGAGAATATCATCTCTACGAGGTTGGCCTGAAGGCACTCAGACTCCACAAGTTTTTGCGGCTGTAAAAAGAACAAGTTTTCACATTGCTATGAACGTTAATAGGGGTGGAATGAATTCTACTTTGAATGACAAACTTTTGAAGTCAGAAATTACACCATCAGAAACTACCAACTAGTTATAACAAGTTTTATTAAATAGTTAGGATATTTGTCTTAAGATGAATCATTAAAACACTTGGCCTGCAGGACCTTCAACTTCCATACCAGGAAGTCCCATAGACGGAAAACAGAGAGCAAGCTCAGTGCCATCTCTTTCAACTTTAATTTAAGATCCTAGGGGCAGGGCTAAAATAAAGGGAGAGACCTTTTAAACCTGAAAAAAATGGATTTGGAAAACATTGATGTGGGTGTTTTAGGGAATGAGTCAACTTTCTACTGGACGAAATCTTAAAAGTTGCTGAAAAAACACCCCAAACACTAATGTCTGCATTACTAATAGTTCATTGGGATTGGTGGAAGAATGGACTCCCAACTTGTGTGTTTCTGATGCACTGAACAATAGTGTGATGTTGGAAATTAAATGTCAAGATCTTTTCAAAGATGACTTAAAACAACTTGAGTTTTAACGACATTATAGCCACAACATAAAGGTAGATACTTACTGTTCCATATTTAAGGAGTGTAGGCACTGCAGTTAATTTTAGTTTTTGTCTGAAGTCATTATTTGGGTCTTTCCAGCTGTTCCAAAGGGAAAAAAAGAATGAAAAATACTATTTGGTTTATTACAATTTACTCAACAGTTGACCTATATTTAGCATATTAGAAATCATTGCTTTTGCTAACATTTAAACATTTTGAGGACTGTGACTTGACATATCACCCTCTGCAAAATTTACATTTAAAGTGTGGCTTAGCTAAAACAAATGTAATGTCGATAGAATTCTGAACTTTCCAGATCAAATTAATTATTTGAACATTAAGTTTGAATTAAATAACTGTAATTGTTTGGCTTATCAGGCATCACCTAAAAAACAGTCTGAGCAATTATCTGAGGTTCTTTACACCCAACTTCTTAATAATCTAGGACATGTCTGGAGATACGGTATACATAATCACTTACTAATCTCTGTCTCCTACTTGGCAGTAGATGAACACGCAGTCTTCAGTAACATGCTTCAACCCCTCTCGAACGACTGGCTCAGCTTTTTAAAAAAGTTCAAAAGGAATTACACATTAACTGCGATAGCCCGCGCCCTGCCCTCTCCTCCCCTCTACCATCCCCAGTCTTAGACTTTAACCCGCAGTAAGATCGAGGATGTTAATTAAAGTCGGGTGTTCTCTTCTGGACCCTCGTTAAGACACATTAACTCTCAACTCTCGTTAAGAACATCAGAAAGCACACATAATTGCTAACGGAAAGACTAACATGAGTCCGGTCTTTGTCACGAGACACTAGTCGTTTGGAGAACTGAGAATTTTAAAGAACCAGGTTCCAAGATCTGAGTCCATGATAAAAATGAGGGCTACCCTTGGCTGGAGCTAATAACTTAACGAGAACAAAGGGGACGGCTCAGACTCTTCTGCGGGTCTATGAGACCAAGATCCTCACCTCTTCCTCTACAATCCCGCTCTCTGGCTTTAGCAGGGCCCTTCTGCGCAGCAACCCTCAGTCCCGGTCTCACCTTCCACGCAGTCCGGACACCAGCTCTTCCCTTCAGTATCCTTAGAACCGCTGAAATAGGCGAAAATGGTCTTGCCTTGGTGCTCCTTCACAGCATTATCAAACTCTTCGAAGCCGGACACGCTAACCTCGTTAAAGGTGGCCATGGGTGCAGCCCAGAGAGGTGCAGTCCCAAGGCGGGATGTGCCTTAGGGTCCCGCCGCCTCAAGGCGGGGCCCAAGTAGGGCGTGGACAAGTTTCCGGGTGGGCGGTGCCACCGGAGAGGAGCAGTGCGGTGCTACGGGAGCCTCGATGGCCATAACTCACTAGGACTGTCCTTTTGGTCTGCTGGAGTTTCTTTTTGGCGCCAGCTCCCTTTGGATTTCTGTCTTTGTCCCCACTCTGGCCTCATGGTGTTCACCTTGCTCCTTAAATGGCTCAGGAAACTCAACCGCTCCCAAGCAGCCCTGCGCCTGTTGCCATGGCGACCGAACGAGCGGCCGGAAGCGAGGCCTAGCTTTGGGTCGCCTGCCTGTCTCCTGGTCGCCGCGCCCAGACCAGGTGGGCTCGGGAATTCTGGGAAGCTGCGTTAGAAAGCGGGGACAAGTGAGAGAAGACTTTGTCCCGGGCTTGCCTTGCAGCTTCGCCCCTCCAATTACCATTCCATTTGTCAGACTTTAGGGGAGCCAGGGCTGGGGCGGTGTCGGGGACTGGGCGGAGGTACGGAGAGAGGTAGGAGGCAGAAAGGCAGCGAGGGCCGGATTCGAGTGTTGTGCGTGCGTGTGTGGTGCACGCTGTCTAGGGGAACAGGTGCAAAGACAGCGTGCCCGAGTTTGCGTTGGGAAAAGGAATTTTTCAGGAGCTGCGAGCCGGGCACGGGGACCTTTGCCAAGGTTGCGCGGGTGTACGCTGCCAGCGAAGATGCCGCTTCGTTGCGTGGGGGCTGGCAGGTCGCGGCGGGGTGTTCGCTCCCTGTGGGCGAGGAAGTGGTGTGCAGGGCTGTCCGGAGGCTTTGTAGTGAGGTGCCGGGCGAAGTCTTCAGTGCGGGGAACGCGCTGTGCAAACATAGGGAGGCTGCAGGATGGTCGGCGGCCTTTGGGGAGGAGGACTACAGAGCCGGCAGGCCCCCCTGGGATAAACAAGGCCTTTGAGAAACCTGGGACTGCAGGCTCGGTTGAAGCAGCAATGGACCCCAGGGCAGTGTGGGTGAACGGGGCTGTGGGCCAGCCTGAGGTGGTTGGGCCTGCTGGGTCTGTGTGGGTGACTCGATCTGGGAAGGAGGAGCCAGACCATAGGAGTCCACCAAACTGTGAGAAAAATGGTTGTCCAGGAACACTTGGCCACGAGAGCATCCTCGAACTGTGGTTGAAGGTGCAGACTATGAGGGTAGCTTCAGGATGCTGGGAAAGAAGCAGAGTGGAGCTCCATCCTCATCCTGAGGGAGAGGAACCAGTCGAAAAGGGTATTCCTGGGAGAGCTTCCTGGGTAGAGACCAGCCAAGGTGATGTCACAGGACCCTGGGTGAGAGGACATGCTAGGGCATTCCCCCAGACCTCAGGAATGCCCTCAGCTAGGGGAACAGGGGCAGGTTGTGGGAGAGTCTCCATCTTCTGTAGGCAGGGACAAGCTGGGAAGACGCCTCCTGCTGTGGGTGAGCCTGGGATAGTGGAGAAGGTAGGCTGTGCTGCCTTGGGCCCTTGGGAAAAAAGACAAACCGTGGGAGTGCCCGAGGCCATAGGATGGTCTGAGGCCTTAAAAAGGCCCAGAGCTGGGGAAGTGAGGGAATATTTGAGTACCTCAGGTCTGTGTGGGGGAGGGCAGTCAGTACAGGTTTCTGGGGCTCTGGCAGAAGAAGCTGTGTATGGGCATATGTTATGGGAAAGGGAGCAAATTGTAGGGAATTCTGATGCATTGATGGTACTGCCCAGGGCTATGGAAGATGAAACTATCCCCCAGGGGGTCCAAGGGTTGTGGCAAAGGAGACAAGAGGTGGAAGATGTAGGTTCTGGGAGTGTTCCTGGCCTGAGAGCCATAGGGCAGCCTGTAGGAGTATCTTGTGCTAGAAAAGGGGGAGCTAAGTTTGGAGGTGACCCAGGGCCATGGGGAGCTATGCAGGCTGTAGAGCTATCTCCGTCTGGGGAGCAGGAGGCAGGTTCTCAAGATGTCCAAAGCATGTGGGGTAGAGAACGGGCAGTGGGAGCATCCATAGTTTTGGGGAAGGAGGCAGATGATGCAGGTGTTCCAGGACTGTGGGGAACAGGGCAGCTGCCAGGCTTGCAGACTGTGGTGATACCAGGAGATAGGGAAGAAGAAACCAGCTATGTCTCAGGCTTTGGGGAGAGGCAGCAGGCTCTAGGGTCTCCTCTGGCTGAGCCATTACCAGGACCAGTTATGGAGGAGACACACAGTAAAAATCTCCCAGGCTTTTGGGAAAGGCGGCAGATCATGAGGGAGCAAGAGGCTCAGGAGCCTGCAGCTTTAGGGATACTTGGGGCTGTGGATCAGGATGCTAGTTGTGGGGGTCCCTTATGCCTATGTGGGAGGAGGCAGGCTATGGGATTGATTGAGACAGAGGTGATGCCAAAACACAGGTGTGCTACAGAAGGAGTACCCTCAGCTCTGGGTGTACCTGTTGCCTTGTGGATGTGTCAGGAAAGCAGCTCTGCAGATGGTATGAACCTGCCAGAAAGAACTCATGCTGCCTCTGGGAGGCCCATGGCTCCTGAGGAGTGTTCATCTGTGGCAGAGGATGCTGAGTCTGGGTCTCTCCCAGGTTCATGGGGAAGGAGACCAGCTATTGGGGTTCCCATGGCTCCTGAAATACCTGGTTCTATGGAGGTAGAGGCTGGCTCCAGAGGTTTCCCAGACTTGTCAGGAAGAACACAAACTGTAGGTATAGCTGCAATTGAAGGGGTAGCACCAGCTGGGGTGGGCATGGCTCCCAGGGTATCTAGTTCTGTCAGGGAGCACATTAGCTCTAGGAGAGTCTCAGACTCCGTAGGAGGTAGGCCAGTTACAGGGGTGTCCATGACTTTGGGACTCCCTTTGTCCACAGGGGATGAGATACTTTCTGAGAGTTTACAAAGAAGACAGTCTGCCATGATGCCTATGGCTAGAATTGCCACAAGTATGGGAGTGCCCACAGCTTCTGGGCTCTTTGGAACTCACAGGGTGGTGGACAGTGGCTATGGAAAAAGCTCAGGGATGTGGCAAAGAAGACAAATGACTGAGGTACCTGCTGCTGCCAGAATCTCTAGCCTTGAGAGGGAAGCAGGCTCTGAAGGTGTCTCTGCTCTGTGGAGGGTACACAGTGGAACAGTTTCTGAGGCAGTGAGGGGGCCTTTGCATCAGGGGATGATTGCAGCTGTTGGGGTTCCTGTGGTCGGACATGTACCTGCTACAGTGTGGATGACTGGGTCTCCTGGAGAGGAAGCAAGTGTAGGTGACTGTGACCTAAAGGGGGTTACAAGACAGTCCATTGAAGGAATAAGGGCATCAGGGGAGGAAACAGGGAGTAGAGGGATCCTGGGACTTGCAGGGAGGGGCCAGGCTATGGGGGTGTCTTACGCCTGTGAGCTTGGTGGCAGGATGTGGGGCAGTCCAAGGTCTGCAGGGGAGGATACAACCTATGACAGTTTTCCCAGAGTATCTGCAAGGAAAACAACTGTGCTGGCAGTTTCAAAGGAGGACATAGGCCTTGGCCATTTCAGAGGTGATCTGCAGGGGAATGGGAGGAGAGCTATGGAAGGAGTTCCTGAAGCTGGAGTGAGAGAGAATGATTTGGGAGAGAGGGGAGAGGAAGGATTGTGAGGCACCTTCCAGTAGATATGCAGAAAGCATTTGAAAAATGCCCTGGGGTTCTGAGAGGGAAGAGGTTGGGCAATGGTTTGTCTTGGGCATAGGTGAAGGAACAGGGATATGTAGGGACCTCATGACTCCTGGAGAGATACTTTCTGACAATATCACAGGATGTATAGGGTAACAAACTGGGAGACTTTTGGAAAGATAGGGAATGCATTACAAGGGGAGGACTATCCCAGGACTCTATAGCAGAGTGGTGAGGGGTGGGTGTCCCTGGACTTGTGTATGAATGTGTGTGTGATTGGTGACTTGAGGTGTACAGTCCCAACTCTGGAGCTCATTCTGTGGCTTCAGCTCTAGCCCTGTGGTGCTGGCAGGCCAGTTGGCATTGCCTTACTTATGTGCCTTCCATCTGCTTCTTGGATCATGTCTTTGTAGCTTAGAAGCAAGGCATCTTGTACAACTGTTTTTATGTTCCTGCAAATGCATCTGCCTTTAAGAGGATCCAGTTTGTAAACTGCGGATTTGTTTTTTAAATTTTTAAGCTAGGTTTTTATCTCTTAACCTTGATTTCCCGATTGATTTACTATAGGATTTTTTAAGAGAACAAATTCACCACTGTAATTAAAACATCGTTTCTCAAAAATTGCTCAATACATTCATGTTGAGCTAAATTTAAATTGTTTATTGTATTCAAAGTACTGCTTGTGGGAAATAAAAGGATAAGACAGGGCCCTCGATTCTCAAGGAGCCTTGTCTAGCTGAGAAGCTGAGACACAGACCATAAAATAGGTAAATAATTATGTGTGGCAACATGGTTAACTCATGAGTGGCAGGGCCATTCAAGTATGTTAAAAGATCTTTAGAATAGAGAGAACGAGGGTGGAGCTCCTTGTAGCTTCCTAGATCATTCAGTAGCTGTTGTCTCATTATGAATGTATACAGAGTCGGGAAAATGGGGGAGCTAAACAGCTAGAGAGCCCTCTGAGCTACTTAAACCCCAGCTTTATTTACAATTATTAAAGAATATTATCTGAGCCACTTAACAGAGGAAAACATTCTGTTCGTTAGGATTTATTCATGTAGAACATGTTTATGAAACTGGTCACAAAAACAATATTTTGTCATAACAGAACTAATTTCTTACTGTACACCCTTGGGATTTAAAATGAAAATGGCCCAAGGGGTTAATTATCATTAAAATAGTGGCTCCCTATTCTTTTGAAAATGGGAATTTCAAAAATAGTTGCTTTTATAAATACAAGATGTTGTAGATGGGATATTATATTCCAGAGGGCTTTTCTACCCCAGTTAGTTCCCAAATAATTGAGATAGAGAGCTTTTACATTTTAAAAACGTTAAGGCAGATATCAACCCACCAAGCTGTTTTGTCATTTCCAAGCTATACCCCAAGTTACCTGCCATAATTGTTCCTGCCTGGGCTGCTTTTGTTTCATCAAGCCAGTACTCATGGTCCAATGCTCATGATCTGTAATGTCCCATGGCAACCTCCTCCTCTGGCTTTTCCTCCTTTTCTCCCTCTTTGTGGTTCCCATCTGACCCCAAGCCCAGGAACCTAAGCTCTGTCCACTTCTCCAATTATTGGCTGTCAACAGCTTTATTTAACCAGTGAGAGAATATTGGTGAGCAAAGTTTACACAACATTACTTGGTGTATGTGGGCTACAGTCAGATCTTGGGGGGATGGGGTCAGTAATTTATCATTTGAATGCATAGCACCAGGCCAACCCCTAAAACAAGAAATAGACCTCTTTCTAAGCAGTCATTCTTGTTGCTATATATGCATGGGATTATGGGTTGCTTAATCTATTGTTTGAAGATACACTGTTTAATTTCAGACATGTTTCGTTTAAGGGAGATTTGCCTGATGACTAGGCAGTCACTGATGTTCTTTATTACCTGACGTGATGGGACCAAGCCAGAGAGCTTCTACCTGTGTTCGTCTAGCACCCAGTATCCAACTAGATGGAATGAGTGACCCCAGGAATCTCCAGATGCAGGTTGTTTTGCTGCTTTTCTTTCAGATATTTATTACAAAGCATTTTAAATATAAAGAAGAGTTAAAAAAAAATTGAACATTTTGAAGTCATTTTCTAAATTTAGAAATTGTTAATAATTTGCTCTGTTTTCTCTCTCTAAGGTTTGTGGATAAGCTTTCCAAAGGAAGCTACAAATAGTGATGCATTCATTTTAAATATTTTAGAACACTTTAAAAGTGAACTCTCTTACCTAATTTTACCATTATCTCACTTAAGAAAATAACTTAAGAAAGACCTTCTATGTGTGTCTGAGTGTGTGTGTACATGTGTGTGCAAGGGTACCTATAGAAGAGGGCAGGGGACTCCTCCAGGCTAGAGTAAGAAACCTAATACCCTTATCCAGTCTTCAGGTGTATGAAAAAAAGAGTTCAGTACTTGCTTTGTGGGTCTAACAGTGGTAGTCCAAATGCTGTGTTTAAAAGTTATAGGCTAAATTCTTTTTCTGCTCTTATTTTTTATTGTGGTTGGTTTTGATTCACTGTTTTCTGCTGGTATTCCTTCCTAGGGTTTTCTGTAGTTTATATTCCCCCTCCTCCCTGTGTATGTGAAACATTCACATACATTCATGTGGTTCCATTATAAACCTATACAAAGGAAAGTGTTGTCCTCTAGCTGGTTGTCCTTTTGTTCTTTCCATCCTGTTCCCACTCATACCCTATGATAACTAATCCTATTAACTCCCATTTTTCTTTGTCATTTTCCTTTTGTCCTAAGGACCAGATGCATGCAAATATTCTTATGGTGACTTTTTTTTTTCTTAATTACAGCTACTCTTTCCCACCTTGTTTTCTAAGAAGTCTCCCTACACCAGCTCCTAGAGCTGTTTCTAGAGACATCCTCATGTCTTACATTTCTAGCACTGCCTTCTGTGGCTATCCCAAAGTTTATTCTATGACCAACCAACCCCACGTGGACATGTAGGTTGATTTCAGTAATTGGCAATTACAAGCCATATACTAGGAAGTAAGCCTTTCTATGTGTACTGTTGGGGGTGCATGTGCATGGTATCCCAGAAGTGATATTAGACTGCTGTGGCAAAAGTAGCTGAATATTGCCAAATTACCCCCAGAAAGGAGTATACCTATGCCCATTACATGCTTATATTCTCTCCCCTCCTCTCCTTTTACTCTCCCTCTTCCCCTGCTCTTTCTTTCATCTGTTCTGCCTTTCCCATTTCCTATGTTTTTTAAAATGTGTATGTGTGTGCCTAAGTGAATTTGTGTGTATTACTCCATGATAATATGTTTCTCCACAGCCTTACCAAAAGCATGTCGTGTTGTACTCTTTTGTGGAATTTCACTGTCTTTATAAGGTTGAACATTTTTTAAAGATTAAAAAATTTTTTTAATTATATGTATGTGTGTAGGTGTATGGATATGTGCACATGAGTGTAGGTGTCTGTTGAGGTTAGAAGCTTAGAATCCCTGTAAATGGTATTACAGATGGTGGTGAGCCTGTGCTGGGAATTGAACTTGGGTTTCTTCAAGAACACTGCATGCTTTTAACTGCTGAGACATCTTTCTGGCCCCAAGTTGAACTCCTCAAACCTCTGCAAATATTAAGAGCCTTCTTTTCTTTCACTTTTTTTCCTCTGCCTTTCCCATTTCTTACGGTTTCTTTCTTGGTGTGTGTGTGCTTATGTGAGATTATGTGCACCATACATATACAGGTGTCTGAGAAAACCAAAAGAGGGTGTTGGATGACCTTGAACTAGAGTTCAGGCAGTTATGAACACCCGAATCTGGTTCTGGGACTTGCACCTGTACCCTCTGAAAGCACACTAAGCACACATGGCTGCTGAGCCATCTCTTCAACTGTTGTTCCTTTTTAACCTCGGTTGTGGGGGGCCACAGAGGTCCTTGTACTCACAGAGGAGCACTACAAGAACCAGAAATGTTAACCACACAGGGGTGTCTCCTCATTGAAGGAGATCAAATCGGATGGATACTTGCATTCAATCCAGAAGGCCAGGAATGGATTTTATTAACAACCTGGTGACCTTATTTTGGTATATGTGGAGGCAAACCTCACCCAAATTCCCCAGAATGGTTATTCCAGACTCTTCTCCCTAGACCATTACCCATCCTTAGGAAAGATGTCACATGTACTTTTAGCTATAGAATCCACCCTCATGGTCACATGCCCTGTATAAAAGAATTTCTGTGTAGTCAGATCTTAAGCTTTATTGTGCATGTGGAATTGGCCTGATTGGAATGGCTGTTGCCTGGAAACCTTTTCCCAAATTGTCCTGTTTTGAAAATGCTGACAGTGAACCACCTGGCATTAGACTCCTTGAAGTCTGATCCAAGTTGACAAAGTCAGTCTCCATTGGGTTTTCATTCTTATCTCTTAATGCTATTTGCTTCTCTGTATGACACCTCCAGGGACCCTCTCACTCAGTTAAGTGTGTTTATGTATGTGTATATGCATGTACACATACACATATAGAGAGAGAGCCCTTTGTACTTGCAAGTAATAGTTTCTTCTAGTTTTTCAGTTCTTTTTTTTTTTTTGAGGTTTTTGTTTGTTTGTTCGGTTTTTTTTTTGTTGTTTGTTTGTTTTTTTGAAACAGTGTTTTTCTATGTAGCCTTTGCTATCCTGGAACATGAGAAAGCTGGAACTCACAGAGACACCTACCTGTCTCCCAAGTGCTGGGATCAGAGATGTACGCTGCCACCACCACCACCACCACCACCTTTGCTGGCTTATTGGGGCTTTTTATTTGTGTGTGTGTGTATTTGTTGGTTCTTAACCACAGAGAACTATTTCAAATCTTTTTCATTTTTTTTTTGAATTTTATTTTTTTCTTATCAGTTACATTTTATTAACTCTGTATCTGAGCCATGTCCTGATCCCTCATTCCCTCCCAGTCTCTCCCTTCCTCCCTCCCTCCCTCATCTCTAACGTGCCCCTTGCCAAGTCCACTGATAGGGGGGACCTCCTCCCCATTCATCTGATCCTGTTTTATCAGGTATCTTCAG